TCACAGGTAAGAGGGTATCAGACTACAGCATTAGCCTATGTCCAAGCCATACAGTTTCCTGCAGTACTCCTGTGTTACCATTTCCCACTAGTATGCTAGTGGATGTTCCTAGTGGATGTTCCAAGATGAGCTGTGGGAGAAACACAAATATTAAGATACTTGACTTAATTATTTTGGGATTAGTGACATATGAAGAATGAAACAAATAGTGTATTTTTCATTCTAAATAAATAGTTGGGTAGGACACTAAAATAATCTACCTTTACAGACATCTACATTTTCTTAAAAGTCTATGCTACACAACTGAAGTCATTGCAGTAGAATATCCTATGTCATCTACAATCCAAAATTAATACCCCATGTTGTCTACAAAATAACACCTTTATAATTGCACAAAGCTTTCTGTGCTCCATCTGTTCCTCACTATTCAAAAATCGATGATATCTGTGGTACAACACCAAGGCAAATGTGGTCAGGAAACCTATTACTAAAAATCTAGAAGGGCATGGTTATTTAAAATACACCTTAGTGTGAGGATTTCGACCTTTTATTTATCAGGGAAAGCAGGCTGTCTGGAAGAATCATCACCATATCCTTTCCCATAGTCACTTTTCAACCTTTCTGGCATCTGTTGAGATTGACCCTCTAGAGAGATAACTGATTAATTGTTTAGGATCTCCAAGAAAAATCATACATATATATTCCTTTGATGAGTTGAAAAAAATCATTGATCATCTGCCACATTCAAATCTTCAAATGGCTACAATCGACACTAGAGGCTCCAACATGTTCTTTTAGTTGCTTACAACTATTTACCATAATTGTTAAACAACTAAGTATTAGTATTGTTTACAGCAGATACTACTTAATATTTATTCATGTAGGATCAAACAGTAGCTTGTTCTGTTCAATCTTTCCACCATATGATTCTCTAGCTATATTCAAGATTACTATGTGAAGAAATGTGTGCATTGTTGATATAGACACTACTGGGGGCTACCACCCTTGCTCTCAGTGTGGTGTAGTGGTTAAGAGCGGTAGACTCGTAATCTGGTGAACCGGGTTCGCGTCTCCGCTCCTCCACATCCAGCTGCTGGGTGACCTTGGGCTAGTCACACTTCTCTGAAGTCTCTCAGCCCCCTCACCTCACAGAGTGTTTGTTGTGGGGGAGGAAGGGAAAGGAGAATGTTAGCCGCTTTGAGACTCCTTCGGGTAGTGATAAAGCGGGATATCAAATCCAAACTCCTCCTCCTCCTCCTCATTGCTTGCCAACCTGGCCTGCCCCCACCATCATTAAAACCCCTTTCTTTACACCTTGCCAAAATAAGCCATCCCCTCACTGATCAGGTGGCGCTGTGGTCTAAAACACTGAGCCTCTTGGGCTTGCCAATCAGAAGGTTTGCAGTTCAAATCCCCACAACGGATTGAGCTCCCATTGCTCTGTCCCAGCTTCTGCCAACCTAGCAGTTCGAAAGCATGCCAGTGCAAGTAGATAAATAGATACTGCTGCAGCAGGAAGGTGAACAGTGTTTCCATGCACTCTGGTTTCCATCACAATGTTCTGTTGTGCCAGAAGCAGTTTAGTCATGCTGGCCACATGACCTGGAAAGCTGTCTGTGGACGAACACCAGCTCCTTCGGCCTGAAAGCAAGATGAGTGCTGCACCCCATAGTTGCCGTTGACTGGACTTAACCATCCAGGGGTCCTTTACCTTTACATTTTTTTTACCTTCAACCACCATGTCCTCACAACTGTTTCAACTCTCCAGTACCCTTGCCGTTTCATCAATCCCCACCTCTTGAGCAGCTCCTTCAGATCCCCCACCCCCTCACTGTTCTTTCCATGCCCTCAACCTCTCCAGCTCCTTCAATCCCCCTTCCTTTAATCCTCCATCCCCTTCAACCCCCATCCCATAAAAGCTCATTCAACTCCCCACACTAACCTACCTGTCAAACTCAATCTTGTGGCCAAAGTTCTTCACTGTTTTAAAGGGCCTGCAGGTATCTGTTCTTTACATTAAATATGTGTTAGAAAGCAACAGACTGGCTTTCATTTGCCAGAACTCACTGGGACTCAGAGAATGAGGGAGGTGTTCATGGTAAATTTTGGCACTTCTTTTACTAGAAAAATAGCACTGCCTACAATTTTATATGAACCTTTCAGAATGAGCCCTCCCAGCCTGTCAGATGGCAACATGTGTACTATATAAGAGCTAAGCAACCTTCAGGTTACCTTCAGGAGCTAAGTGCAAAATGGCAGCTCAAGGGGAAGAACTACCGTCATTATCAGCTCAACCACGTAAACTTGTCACTGGGACGGTCTGTATATGCACGTACAAACCTATGTCCGAGTTACTCCAACTCAGGGACTGTAAAGCAAAATTCTAACAGTGACCAGTGAAGCTGCATAAGTGTCAAAGGCAACCAATTAATAAACCTATTTTACAAAATCTTCAGCTCCCAAGGCCAATCAGGTGAGAGTAAAAAAAAAAATCCATCCCTGACAGTCACCAAACATGTTACCAACAAAAGACCTAACCCCAAGGGAGGGTAAATATGGAATTCTTGATTCGAGTAGGGCTACTGTTGTGAATTGGACCACCTTTTCTAGACCAGGAAGCCCCACATTTCCCAGAGTTCCAGTGATACTGTGGAGACTCCCAGGGAATCCTATGAGGCCTTCAACTACTGGGGGCTCACCACACAGGACATCCAAAGCACCTTGATCACAAAAGCTGTCAGCATACTGGGATTTCTCATAATAACCCTCTGTGACAGGCTACATCTAGACAGTGACAAAGTCAGGCCAGTGGACTTTATGGCCAATTGAGGATAGGAATCCATGTTTTTCTGTAGCCATAGTCCAGCCTACAAAGCCATACAATCATTTTCCAGATCACTGTTCTGTGTCTGTTAGCTGACCCTAACAAACTAGACACAATGTGTGATGTACACCTGCTCCATAGAATAGACACAGACACACACACACACACACACACACACCACAAGCATGTGGATCATCATAGTTGCCTGCATTTTACTTTCCCCCTTGGGGATGTGGATGGGGGACTGTTATGTCAAGATTCTGTGCTTCAAATTTATGATTAAACCACTGATGAAATCAACTTCTTTCTTATGGATGGATGGATGGATGGATGGATGGACGGATGGATGGATGGATGACCTGGAAAATAATTTTATTTTTTCTTCCAATCTTCCAATCTTGTTCAATAAAATCTCATTTAAAAAATAAAGAAATCAGAATACATTTATTCATAGCATTTTAATTTGTTTAAATGAAAAACAAACAATTATGTTCTATGTAAAACTAAGAAGAAATCTACTACCTTTGTGCAGGAGACACAACCTATGTCCTAATCATCCAATTAAATAAGAAGAGAGCAATTAAGGATTAATTAAGTCAAAAGCTAACAACTCTATGTTGCCACAAACACACAAGGCCCATTACCTCAGAAAGACCGTGTCAAATAAAGCCCCAAGGCACAAACTTCAACAGGCCACACCGGACTCATAATAAACAGCTGAAGTTGAAGACTGGAATACAATTGGGAGAGTTTACAATTAAAGGGAGGTTTGCCAATTACTCAGTATGATGAGGATTCGTCCTGTAATTAGAAGGCGCAGCTAATCTTACAAACATTTGTTTCATGTGTAAACTTTTTCCAAATAACTAAATATTGTCCTTTTACTTTATGAAAACATATATTGCTGTAACGGTTCTCCAATGTTTATTTTAATTGTAAAGAAACTGTAATTCCAATTCTCAGTCTTTAATAAACATCTACACCAACTCCAATTGGAAACATAATCTAATTAAAGGGACTGATAGCAGATTGCTCAAAGGCATAGTTAATGAAATCCTAGAGTTATAGGCCCCATTCCTCATGTTTTATATCTACAGAGCCAAAGTTTATGTGTAAGGCGGACACATATTATTGGGACCCAGATATCCAGGGTGTGGGGCAGTCCAGGTTTCAATCCCATTACTATGAAAGAAAGAAAAAGAATCAATATTGTATATTATGCTTGATATTTATGGGAACTTATTTATCTATGAATTTCTTGTCCAGCTCTTCAAATATTGCCATAGTATTACTCCATTGGTCTATATTTGTAAAGTGTTAGGTCCAGATGTAGCTGTGCTTAGAACAGACCCACAGAAATAATGATTAACTTAAATATCCTTAAATTTAGTGGATCTGTTGTAAGCATTACTAAGTTTGGATACAACCCAAAATGCTTCCTGCCATGTTAGACCTTTTGATGCTTCAGATAGCATTTTATGTAAATGGGATTGAGATGGTTGGTTTTTGACCAAGCAGTATACAAGTCTTGTTCAATAAAATCACATTTAAAAAATGAGGAAATCATGTATTAAGACCAACTGAAAATTTGCAAAATATCGAGCTGTGTAGAATTTGAGAAAAGATGGGGGACTCTAATGGAATCATCATCACCATCAATCATCCAGTATGGGTTAGGGAAGAAATTTCATGTTCGTTCAGTTTCCCATTTGCCAGCCTTCATTTCTCTCCATTTCTGAATCACTTTGTTAATCACTTTGATTTATTATTTTCTAAAGTTGTTATAAAACTTCATTTTGGAAAATAAAAAAGGAAGTGCAGTGAAGTCCTACAGTCTTTGCCAATGCTTCATGTGAACTTTCTTTAATCTCATCACCAGTGAGTGAGAAGTGGAGTTACACCTTTTTGATGTCAGCATGGTATTGGGATTAGGTGAGGCAGGAGCAAAGGCTGGGCAACTCTAGATTGGTGACATACCTATAGGATGTTACTGCAAAGCTGGAGTTCCCCTAATTTCTCCACCACACAACTCCATCCCCATCCTGGAGAAATCATTGTCAATGCACTGCCACAACAGTAGCACCACCACTCTGCCCTGCCCACCCCATGTTATGGATTCATGAGATTGTTTCAGCCACATCTTGAAAAAAGATATGGAAAACATGTATTTCTTCCATCATTTATTTATTTTCATGTGTACATTTGAATGCAACCTTCCTTTGATTAAGTCTCTCAGGGCCTCTTTCACCTTTTCATTTCTCAGGGTGTAGATAAAAGTGTTGAGGACAGGGGTTATCACCGCTGTTAAGATGCTCACCACTTTCTTGAGATCCAGGGATGATCCCTTTGATTGCCTCAGATACATGAATATGGCACTTCCGTAGTAGATGGAAGCCACAGTGATGTGGGCAACACAAGTGGAAAAGGCCTTCTTCTTCCCAGTAGCTGATGGGATTCTCAGCACCGCAGTGATGATAGAAATGTAGGACACTGTTGTTAATACCAAAGATCCCAGAAGTACAATTATAGCAATTATGAAATCTAGAAACTCAATATGGTGTGTACTGGAGCAAGAGAGAGCAAGGAGTGGTTCAATATCACAAAAGAAATTATTGATGATGTTAGAGCCACAGAATGATAGTTTTGATATAGCAGAAACAGGCCAAATCACAAAAATGAATCCTGCCAACCAACAAAAAAATGACAAGTCATGAGCAGAGCCTGAAGCTCATGATTGAAGCATAGCGTAGTGGATCGCATATTGCTACATAGCGATCAAAGGACATGACAGCCAGCAGTACAAACTCTGCCACTCTGAGGAAGAAATAGAGGAAGCACTGAGTTATGCAGCCATAAAATGATAATGTTTTTGTTCTTGAGAGAAGGTTAGAAAGTGTGACTGGGGTGATGGATAATGTAAATGCTATCTCCAGGATGGACAAGTTTAAGAGGAAGAAGTACATTGGCCTATGAAGACGAGAATCAACTAAAACCAGAACTGTAATGGTCAAGTTCCCCAACAATGACAATGCAAATACCAGTAAAAGCAGATAGAAGAAGATTATCACTAAGTGATTGGGAACTGGGATGCCCAGAAGAACAAACTCATCAAATGTGCTGTAGTTTTCTGGATGCACTTAGGTGCAAACTGCAAATAAGAAAGGATCAAAATGTCATGAAACAAAGGCAATTGATGAATTAATACTTTAAAAACAGAAAGTCCCACATCTTATCAGCTCTCTCAGAGAACTGACCTGCGCCTTCCTGGACAGCTATGAGTCCAAAATAACTCCCAGGCTGAGCACCTGGTCCTTCAGGGGCACAGTTGCCCCATTCATTATTATTTTTTATAGACATCTTTATTGGTTTTTCAATTAGTTTACAGCCATCCTTTTCATACACATCAATATTCATAATAAACAATTGGACACTATGAACATTCCAATGTTTAACATGTATGCATAAACTAAAGAGAAATTTAATATTATCTTACTTATCTACTTATTTTGTTGCTACTTTGTTTGCACCAGATTTCCTTCCACCTCTTACTTGGGTCCTTGGAATTCTATGTTATATGCCTTTCCAATTGTATCTAAGATTCTATTTAAGCATGAAGAATCAAGCATAAACTTCTAGCACTATTTAAGAATTGTGGCAGCAACTAAATAAAGAAGTTTGAAAATAGTATGTTACAGTATGTTCTTTTAGGAAGAAGGTAAATGCTCATGAACCTAATAATTAGATACTGAGCAATTTTACTGCCAACACATTATTTTAACTGAAGTGAAGGAATTAAGAGTAGTGCATTAAACTTTAGCTTTGACTTTCCCACCCTCATTTAATAGTTTACAAACCAAGACATTTAGCTGATTTTCATCCTTCCTACAAGAATCTGGGAATGAAAATTTCCTTAGAAGCATTTTACCCTTCTTCTGAAATTAAAAGCAAAGTTCTGTGTTCTGTCAGTTCTTGGCTCAGAAACATCTCCACCTGATGAAACAGAACATGACTACAGTGACTCCAGTGTTTCAAAACTCAAACATCTAAGCAGGTTTCATCCCAGAGGGAGTAATCAGGCAATTTCACCCTAGGCAAAAAGTTGATTCACTTCCAAAGAGAATGCCAACTTTATATTTTCAAAATTATTATTCTTTTGATTAATCCACTGAGATGTGACTACAGAAAGACATTGTACTTCTATGGAGCTGTTTCCTGAAACAATCAGATGGGATTCTGGAATTCAAGGGATTCATACTTGTTCAGTGATTCATAAAATAAGTTTATTTGCAGATATGGAAAGGTGTCTGGTTCACAGTTAAGTTTGCAAAACCAGAGATTTTGCCAGGAAAAAATTAAGAGAGTCAGCATGGAGCTATTAAAGTCCAATTTGGTTATGGATAGTTAGGGAATAGCAGAAACATCTGGGGGTTATATTTTAGTTAATATAAACACATTCATCAAATTTATACATAGTAAGGAAATATTATTAAAACAGTATAAAATGATATGAATTAATTGGAAACGTAAGTTTGTCATTAAATTCTACTCATAGTAGTCCTACTGAAATGGATGGACCAATTGTCATGTCTGTTAATTTCAATGGGCCTACGTATGACTAAGTTTAGATGGAATCCTTTAACATTATTTGTACATTATGAGTGAAGAAAATTCTTTGTTTTAGGTCTCAACAATTCTAAGATACATTTTAAAAAATAATCTGAGAAATAGGCATCTTCCTCTCACAAATGGACAAGCAGATACACAGCTTAGCGCGACTCCTGGATCTAGTGCTGTCGCTTGAGGCTCAGGTGGCCTTGGTGGCGCAGAATGCCTTCCGTCAGCTTTGGCTGGTGGCCCAGCTGCACCCCTATCTGTACAGGGATAGCCTAACTTCTATTGCCTATGCTCTAGTAACCAATTAGGTTAGGTTACAGCAATGCATTATACATAGGGCTGCTTCTGAAGATGGTTTGGAAACTTCATCTGGTGCAGAATTTAGTAGCCAGGTAGCTCACCAGGGCAAGACAGTTTGAGCATAGTACACAAGTCTTGAGGATCCAACTGCACTGGTTGCCAATTAGTTTCCAGGCCCAATTTAAAGCGCTGGTTTAGACCTATAAAGCCTTAAATGGCTCGGGACTGCAATACCTTAAGGACCGCCTCTCCTTGTATGAACAAACTTGGACCCTGAGACCATCACCTGACAATTATTTTCATGTGCCTACTGCACAGGAGGTCCAGAGGGTGGCAACACAAAATGGGTCTTTTCTGCAGTGGCTTCTCTTTTGTGTTATGCTCTCTTCAGGGATGTTTGCCTGCAACCTTCATTACATATCTTCAGGAGTCAGGCAAAAACGCTTCTCTTTAACCAAGCATTTGCCTTTGTCTGATTAACATTCTATGTCCTTTTAAATGTGTTTTTGGGAGGGGGGTTATTAGTTTGTTGCTTTTTTGTCCTTTGTTCTGACTTCTCCTTTTTTATTTTTATATTGTGAACCACCTGTGATCTTCAGATGAAGGGTGGTATGCAAATTTAATAAATAAATATGCATAATTAGAAATAAATAAACTACATTTGGCATCTATCCCCCAGAATTAATATTTGCACTTAACATGTTTTTAGGAGATAAAACGAAATTGTTCCCCAGCTTCTGGAAGTTTAATAGATGGCAGACAAGCCAATTTCACAGACGCTGTCAAATTTCTGTAAAACCTCTGGTTTCATGCCACTGGGATAAGCAATCTTCATAAGTAATTAAATGGGCCAAGGAAGTGGAGAAAGCAGGCAATCAATGATATAGAAAAGGGTTTGGAATTCGCCTCTTCTTTATTAACTTTCCACCAATAACAGGAAAACAATCTTTTTAATGTAAAGACAAAATGGTATCATTCACTGGCAAAATGTATTGTATTAACAAGTTAAGCTTCAAAATGTACTGTATTCGCCTCCACAAAAAAAGGCTTCCTTCGCACCCATATTCCTGGAAAAAATGTTGGGCTGAATTATTTCGTCCTGCTTGATATGTGGTTTTTTATTACATTAAATAACCAGGTATAACAACCAGCTGCAAATGTTCCTATATAGATCATCACTGGCCCCGTATCGATGGGTAGTCCCCCTCACAATTCTAATGCCCCTCATTAGTCTCATAGGAACATGTACAGATCCCATTGATACGTACTTTCCAAATCTCACAGCAGAACATTTTATCCCAAGAAACAAAAGCAAAACATTAAATATGAGAGATCATCGCAGCCACATCTAATTTATCAACTAAATTGTTGCAGTTTTCCAAACTGGATTCTCAAAGGCATTGGGCAAGGTGGGCATCTTCCAAGGATTTTCCCCAAAGCTTCATTTACATCTTTGTTCCTTAGGCTGTATATGAGGGGGTTGACCATTGGAGTGAGGACAGTGTAAAAGAGAGAAAACACTTTGTCAAGATGCCTTAGGATGCTGACTCTTGGGAGCATATAGACCATTACGAGTGTTCCATAGAACAGGCTGACCACTGACAGGTGAGAGGAGCAGGTGGAAAATGCCTTTTTCCTTCCAGTAGTGGATGAGATTCTTAGGATCGTGGCTATGATATAAATGTATGAGGTCATGGTGAGCAGGAAAGGAGGCAAAGTGAATGTGCAGGCAAAAACAAAATTGGTGAGCTCCATCCAATAGGTGTCACTGCAGGAGAGCTTTAGCATGGGTTTTAAGTCACATATATAATGATCTATTTCATTGGGGCCACAGAAGAACAACCATGACATTGAAATGGTTGTAATGGTGCTGACCAAAAACCCACATACCCAAGACCCAGCTGAGAGCTGGAAGCACAACTGGCCATTCATGAGGGCTGCATAACGCAGTGGTTTACAAATGGCTAAGTACCTGTCATAAGACATTGCAGAAAGGAGATAACATTCAGTTCCCGCTAGGCAAGCAAATACGTAATACTGCACAAAACAGCCTGCAAATGAAATCTCTTTCAAGCCAGTCAAGAAACTAGCCAGCATTCTTGGGAGAACAGCTGAGCTATAGCAGATCTCCAAGCAAGAGAGATTCCCCAAGAAGAAGTACATTGGAGTGTGAAGGCGTCGGTCAGTCACAATGAGCACGGTGATGAGAAGGTTCCCACACAGGGTCACCAAGTAAATAATCAGAAATACCAGGAAAAAAAGACCTTGCAGTTTAGGGAGATCCTCAAATCCTAGCAGGATAAATTCTGTGACAGTTGTTTGATTTCTCCATCCTGCTCTTCCCATAGGTTTCTTTCTGTGGGAGGATGAAATAAACCATCAGATCTCTTTGAGGAGGAGCAACAATTTAGTCAACAAAGCTAAGACAATGGAAGCTCAATTTCATCAGTCTCCTTCAACTGCTGCAGAAAGTGCAGAGAGAGATTTGCCTCACAGTAGGATATGTCTCTGCCTAACAATGCTTTTGTTTCATTTTGTTTTTAAACACAGTCCTAGTGCCCATATCTGTCCCCTTAACCAGGGACAGTGGGCCTTTCCTGTGGGCTTTATGGTCAACCTTTCAGTGCCCTCATACCATGTGGGACCCAGTCCCTAAAAAAAGAACCAGTTCACTAAAAAGAGAAAAGAGAAGCACTTTACCTTAATTACAAATGTTTAATAAAAGCTGCTATGCTGTCAAAATCCCTGTACTGCAATTTTCTGGAAAACTAGTGGTTGACATACAGCTTGGTTTTCATGTAGGATGTTCTCTTTTAAATCACCCTTAATCTACTCAATCTGCTGCCTGCAGTTCCCATTGAAACCAAGCAACTTAAGGCTGACACTGTCTCTGGATGTGCTACAATATTCTCTAATGTTGGAAACGAACTACTTAAATAAATGAGCCCATTCTGATCTACAACAAGCAGAATGAAGAAACTCCCTTTACAATACTTCTACAGTGTAATTAGCAGAAGCACTGTAATGATCACTGCTAATTATAGAGATAGAAAAATATTACACCTGTTGTTAAATGGCGTTTCTGTTGCAAATTTATTAAAGAAAGAAAAGCAGCAAAAGCACAGCAAAAGGGAAAAAAATACAAGGAATAAGGGGGGGGTGTCAACTTACATTAACAATACAAGAAGCATCAAGTCATCCATCATAATTTACACATACAGATTGATGCATGCCATCCAAATGTCTCAACAGGAATCCAAACAAAGTTGGTGTTTAAACAAAGTACGTTCAAATATAGTAAGGGTGTTCAGTTCTTCAGACCATTGCATAATAGAGGGTGAGTATTTATCCTTCTGGGTTCAGAGTACAAGCCTGAGGTACTAAGGTTACTATAGAAATATAATTTAAAATTCATGAACATCCTCAAATACTGATGATTTCACCAATACAAAACTGATATGGACAGCAATCACAAAGGAATTATTATTATTAATTTTTTCTCCAAGGAACATGAAGTGGCATACATCATTTCCCAACTCCACATTTAGTACCCACAAAAACCCTGTGAAATAGGTTACACTGAGAGACGGGGATTGGCCCAAGGTCACCCAATGAGTTTTATGACTGCGTGGGGATTCAAATCTTGTTTTCCTAGGTCATAAGCCTCAGTGAGGTATTTCCAGCATTACAACTCCAGCATCTATCTGAGTTAGACAATACCTTCTTGTAGGGGCATTATGGAGTCCAGTACAGACGACCCGTTTTAGGTTGCCAGAGTAGATGTGGAACAAGGGTGGCATAGAGCAGGGTGTTTCAATTGCATGCAATTACACACAAGCACACAATTACCTGGAAAACAATCCCCACACAAAATTGGGAGTTGCCTGTACACCCAAAATATTTTTCTTTTTCTTATTTTGCTGAATCAGTCTCAATTTTAGAACTGAAGAAACATTTTATATAGATTCTAAAGTGAATTCCAATTGTTTAGGATGTTCATTGTAAACAAATGCAAAGTGGTGCATGTTGGGGCAATTTATTTTCTTAATTTCACATAAACACTTCCTGAAATTCTTTTAAGTGGACATGCCAGGGATAGAACATGGATGCAGTGCTGGATTTATGTATAGGCTAAGTAGGCTGAAGCCTCTAAATCTAGGGGGCCTCGCCAGCCCACCCGCTCCCCAGCGGGCAGTCTCCCCTCTCCCAAAATTGCAAACCCAAGACTTTATGCAAGGGCAGGGCAACTTAAGCCCAGAAACTATGAGACTCAGGGCTAGCCAGTGGGGCTCAATTTGAAGCAGTGGGGCACAGCGAAACTTGCTGGAATTAACAAATAAGAAAGTTTTCAGAATTTAAATTCTAGATTAAAATTGATTACTTCATTGAGAAGGGGATTGTAAGAAAAACACTGGGGCCTACTTTGAATAGTAGCGTGCCTGGTATCTGGTGGGCAATCTCATCCTTTATTTCCACACTGTGTGTGCAGAACAAATCACCTGTCAGGAGAGTTATGACATTCAGGTGAGGGTCAGATGCCTTGTCAATCCTAGCAGGAATATAAAAGGATGACTGCCCTGGCCAGGCCTTCGCCTGTGGTTTTTTTAAGAATAGCATTACAACTTCATTTTCCTAAAAAATAATGCTTATTCCACAAAGGGTTACAATGTTCAATTCTTGCAAAAGTTTTTCAGTGTTAATTTTATGCACTTTTTAAAAATCACCATGGTATTTACCAGTAATATCTTATGTTGTTTAGAGGAGAAATTCTGAATTTTTTAATGTTCAAGTTATGATTCCTTTCTTAAATTACTCCCATTGTGTAAAGAATAGTTTTAGGACACATTATTAAAGCTAAGCATTCCTAAGCATTACTAGAATTCCTACATACATAGTGGTCCCATGAGCGCTACACGTGGGGAAGGTTACTTCCACTGTCCCTATTTTGTGGGCACATTTCAATCACATAACAGCAATTTAAAATTGTACAATTAAAGCAAAGTTGGTGTTCCTTTATCTTCCTTCCTTCCTTTATTTATTTGACTTTTTAATTTTTTGTTACCCAAAGGTCTCCAAGTACACATACAAGCATTTTAAATACACACACTGTATCAAATTTGAGGTGGATTTTTAAGTAGAACAAAATGATGGCTTACACATTCAGTTTACCGCTGTTCAAAATGATGCACATTCAGTTGACAACTATTTTCATTTATTCTGATCGTTAAAAAACTGGATCTGTCATGAAGCTGGTGAACTTCCTAAAACCTTTCCACATGGCTTCCTTCACTTCCTTATTTCTCAGGCTGTATATGAGGGGATTGACCATGGGGGTCAGGACTGTATAGAAAAGAGAGAAGATTTTCTTCACATATCTGAGATCCCTGGACCGTGGGAGCATATAGACCAGCATCAGTGTTCCATAAAAGAGAGCCACCACAGTGAGGTGGGATGAGCAAGTGGAGAAGGCCTTTTGCCTCCCAGTAGCAGAAGGGATTCGTAGGATTGTGACGATGATGAAAATGTAAGATGTTAATGTGAGTAGAAATGGAGGCAGTGTGAACGCACAGGCAAAGATGAATGCGGTCATTTCTACAACATATGTGTTGCTGCATGAAATTTCTTTGATGACTGGGGACAAATCACAGAGGTAATGATCAATTTCATTAGGGCCACAGAAGGACAATGAAGACACTGAAAGGGTTGTACTTGTGCTCACCAAAACTCCACTTCCCCAAGACACAGCTGCCAGCTGTAGACATAACCTACCATTCATGAGACTGGCATAGTGCAATGGGTTACATACAGCTAGGTACCTATCGTAAGACATTACAGACAGGAAGTAGCATTCAGCACCTCCGAGGCAAGCAAATATATAAAACTGCACGAAGCAGGCTTTTATGGATATACTTTTTTCCCCAGTCAAGAGACTTGATAATATTCTAGGCAGGATTGTTGAGCTGTAGCAACATTCCAAGAAAGAGAGGTTCCCTAGAAAGAAATACATGGGGGTGTGAAGATGTCGATCAGTCACAACCAACAAAACAATGAGGAGGTTCCCAGCCATGGTCACCAAGTAGATCGCTAGGAAGAGTAAGAAAAGAAGAAATTCCAATTTATTAAGGTCTCCAAATCCTAAGAGTATGAACTCAGCAATAGTTGTTTGATTTTGCTTCTCTCTCTCTGCCAATGGCATCATCTGGAGAAAATCGAACACAAAATATTTAACATTATTTCACCACAACAGCTACAATAGCTAGAATAATAATGTATAAATCTATGATACAGTCATTGTAAGGAAAACTGCAAAGTTCTGGTTTAGTTACCTAATTGGGATTAGTGTGGAGGTATAGAAAAACTGTGAATGGTACAGAGAAATAAATAGAATATTTCCCCACTTTATCTCTAATTTGTTTAAGGATATTTTTAATTCCACATTTTTAAGTGAACCAAGCTGATTGGCACTTTTTGGACTAATGAACAGTATAGAACTCAGTTATTTGTCAGTTTTCACATTTCTCTGAATTTTGTGATACACATCTTGGCTCAAAATGCATACAATCTAAAATTAAAATATGTACAAAATATGTCTTTTAGGATACAGTGTGTCTAGAAATGCATTTTTTATGGGAAATACTTTAAAATGTGAAATTTTATGCAGTTGACAACTGCACATTGATATGGAAACAGGATGGAATAGATGCATGACTGAACACATGCAAAACTAATGTGGAGAGAAAATAGTTTGACTCTTCCATCTATATGTATATAACATTGAAATTCAGAGTCATCTAATTAAATTGATTAACAGTACATTCCTGGGAGACAAAAAAAAAAGCAGCTCCACTGCAGTAAACAAATTATTAATTCATGGAATATATGCTGATGGTCACTTACTTAGGTGGCTTTAAAAAGACATCAAGCAAATTCTTATAGAACAAGGAAGGGGAACCTCTTTCAGCCTGGTCACATTTTGTCCACGTGTCACATACAAATGGCAAAAGTAGGAAGGACAGCAGATGTGTCATTTTTCTTTGTACAACTGGTTTTACTCTAAGCTATGTACAGCCTAGCGAGAGATGGTATGGCTTGAAGCAAGGCTAAGGGCTAGGTAGAAATCTCTGGAAGGCTGCATTTAGCCTCCAGGCTTGAGGTTCCCCTACTGAGATAGTTAGTCAGGGAAAGTGTAAGAGAAGTACCCACATATGAAACTTTTTTTTTTACCTTAATGTTGAATTTATATCATGACAGAAGGATTTATTCTGTAACTCAAGGCTGCATTGTATTCTTCTGTTCTCTATAGAAACACTCATGACTTGGTTGATCTTGCTCGAAATTAATCTTCATTGATTCAGTGTAACTTACTTCCAAGACTGCAGTCATTACCTCTCATATCACCCCAGTATATGAGCCCAATAATACTGTTTATAAATTGATTCTGATATAGTCCTTAACATTCCTTCCCCCTTCTGTCTTCCCACACTATTCTGCAGAGTTTTGCTTTGGTAACTGTGATGTCTATGTAGTGTCACAATATGTTGAATGTCTCCATTGGGTGGTTATTTATGAACCACACAGAAAAAGAATATCCCTTGACTATTCTGTTAATGGGTATATTAGTCTACTGAGGATAATATTTTCAGAAGGAAATTTTGCATTATCTGACGCAGAGATATATGTGTAATATATGTGATACTCCAAAACACTGTAGAAACAAATGGGGACCCAACGGCTGTAAACAAAAGAAAAGAAAAGCCATAAAGAGCTGTTTAGGAAAAAATGGAATCTTTTATTCCCCCCAGCTTCCATTATATAATTATTCTCAGCTGATGTGATCTCCTTCGGTAGTTGTCAGTGGTTTGAGCCAGGGCCCTTTGGATGCTTGCTTAATTTAAATAATGAATCTACTATGAAGAAAGGCTTCAGTTCATTGGTCTGCCCACCTATATTGAGTTAAGAGAACAGCTAATGTGGAATTTAGAGTGAAACTGAGGATTCTGTCCTCATGGATCTGGTGTTACTTTTGGCATCAAAGCTAGCCTGGTGTCATATTTATCAGTTTTGTTTGATACATGAGCTAGAAGCCTTTTTTTATAGGGGGGAGCATGCACCTACTTCTGTAACCTCTGGCTCCAAGTGGATGCTGTGGCCCACCTCTTAGGTGGCGTGAAATGTGGGAACATATACAACTAATTGTATGCAGCCACACAGGATACCAAATGATTCTAAGAACAGTTCAAGATGCCTGTTTTTGAACTACAAAATCACCTTTGACCTGCAGTGAAGAGACTATCTCACCCTGGAGCACTCTGTCTATATTAAACTATGAAGATAATGAAGAGAAATATTAACCCTTGGGCCACTTCCCCATAAATAAATCCATCAATAAAAGAGCAAATAAGGTTTTCATTTTAGTCATAAATTTTAATAGATGATTGCAGTTGGGGGAAGACAAGCAGGAAATAAATGTGTCTGCATGTTGCAGAAATCAATTGCAGGGATATCAAATATGAAAAAGTGGAAACATCTATCCAACGGATACAATTTATTCACACCGTAATTGATTCTCCAGTTCCATTACAACTTAAAACATGGTGTTCTAAAACGTTGAATAGGCTATGAACTTCCTAATAACTCTCTGCAATGCCTCCTTCACCTCTTTGTTTCTCAAGCTGTATATCAAGGGATTGACCATGGGAGTTAGGACTGTATAGAAGAGAGAAAATATTTTTTTTGTGTATCTGAGTTTCCTTGATCCTGGGAGCATATAAACTAGCATCAGCGTTCCATAAAAGAGGGCCACCACCGTAAGGTGAGATGAGCAGGTGGAGAAGGCCTTTTGTCTTCCAGTGGTAGATGGGATTTTGAGGATTGTAGCGATGATATAAGCATAGGAGGCCATTGTGAGAACAAAGGGTGGCAGGGTGAAAATGCAAACAAATATGAAGGCAGACAATTCTACTAAGTATGTGTCAGTGCAAGAAATCTGTTTTATGTCTGGTATGACATCACAGAAGTAATGATCAATGATGTTGGGGCCACAGAAGGATAACTGTGATACCCTAACAGTTATGCCTGTGCCAACCACGAGTCCACTTACCCAAGATCCAGCTGCCAACTGCAGGCACAGCCTACTGTTCATGAGAGTGGCATAATGTAATGGTCTGCACACTGCTAAGTACCTGTCATAAGACATCACAGACAAGAGGTAGCATTCAGAACCTCCCAAGCAAGAAAATATAAAAAATTGTGTGAAGCAGGCTTTTATAGATATAGTTCTTTCACCGGTCAGAAGTACAGTCAACATCTTGGGCAGAATTGTTGAGCTGTAGCAGGATTCAAGAAAGGAGAGGTTCCCTAGGAAGAAGTACATGGGAGTGTGGAGATGTTGGACAGCCATAACCAAAAAAACAATGAGGAGATTCCCAGCCATGGTGGCCAAGTAGATCGTTAAGAAGAACATGAAGAGAACAACCTGCAGATTGAGGAGATCTCCAAATCCCAAGAGTATGAATTCAGAAACAGTTGTTTGATTTTGTACCTCTCTGCTTGCCACGGACTGCATCTGGAGAAAACAGAATGCACCACTTACAACTGCAAGTTGGTGTGTTGTCTTGCAAATCAACATTTTAAACCAGAGGAAACTCTCCACAACACTGTTCACTCATCCTTTTAGTGGAAGTGGTTTTGCACCTCCTCGTCTCATTTTGGGCAAAGGGAGATGGGAACACATGGAGCTAGCCTCCTGACGCTCTGGGAACGTGACCAATAGGGGAGGCCAGGATGAATGCCTTTAAAATGCCTGTCACCACATAGCTTATTTCAGGCCACCACAGCATCCCTCCCAGCTAGCCTTTCATATGAGTAGAAAATGTTTGGCTGTTCTCCGACTGGGTTTGAGTTAATCTCTACTTTTCTGCATAATGAGTATGACAAATTTGTGTTTTGACTTATTGATTGTGTTAATTTCTTGTTTGCAGCATGGAGATAGTGTGAGGACTGCATACATTGCATAAATTTAAAGTACACGCAGACCCATGGAAACATCTGGAGAGACTTAATCGACTAGATACTTTAATATACATCATGAATTTGTTCTTATTATTTCTGACTTTAAGTTGCTGTTGTACCTTTTCCTAAGAAATGGCAGGCCAACTGCTATTGTTGCTTACTGCATTTTAAATTATGTTTATTGCATGTGGGGGGGGGGATCTAATATTTTTGAAGCACAAACACTCAAAAGAATCCTTGGAACACATCTACAATTCTCAGCACCCTTGACAAGCAGTTTCCAGTTTTTGTGTTTTGAGGGGGTGATGGGCTCTAAATGAATGCAGTCTTAGACTTTAACCGAGGAGCCAAGATAAAGTCTATAGGTAACAAAAGTGGTTGAAAACAATGATAATTAATTATGCATTCTATTGGTTTTTTAATGGAAAGTAGAAAGAAAATTAAGGCCACAATCCACACCCACTTACCTGAGACTAAGCCCCATATACTTTAGAGTTAACATGGTTAGAATTGCAGCTTTATTGCATGCAGGTGGCATCTAGTCACAAAAACTTACACAAAATCAACAAACACTTTAGAAAAAAGCGAAGCGATGAGGCACCTATCAGAACACTGGGAATTACACATCAATGTCTTTCTAAACAATGCACATTGCAAAGTAATTTTTTAATCTATTTACATATAATGTGTTCATGTAATCTCCCCCCTTTTTTGTTACAGATAACTAAGGCAAAAAGCATTCATAGCAAGAAGAAAATCCACTTAATATCAACTTTTCAACTGATTCCTCTGACTTACTTAGTTATAAGATCTTACAGGTATATGGCATGATGACCGTCCTAGAAAACAGCTATTGCATTCTGGGATTGCACAAAATTTTGGAATCACTTACTCTATGTCCTGTCTCTATCCCTCTATTAGAAACCTTCTTACCCTGCTGCTTCTTTCGAATAGTCCTGCCTTGTTGCTTGCAAATTCATCAGTCCATAATGAGATGATCTCTATAGAATTATTATTTATAATCTACCCAGCAAGGTAGAAAAAGTCCCTTGGCAGTTCGGATAACAAGTGATATCAATGCATGGATAAAGCAAAGGAACAAAAGGAATCAAGAGTTTCAGAGAAGAGTAAGCCCATGTTCCCTCGACAACAGAAACCTCCATGATTCTCGTTAGTGGCACCCAGGGGTGGAGGAATGGGGGTGCAGTGGAGGCGGGCTGCCCTGGGTCTCACCCACTGAGAGGGGTGACAAAATGCCGGGTGGCACTCACTGCGAGGCCTGCAGTGTGCCTGAGCCACGTGTCTCTCCTGGGAGTGACGTGGTGGCTTGGGTGTCAGCAGACTCCGTGCTGTCCCATATGGTCCACCCAGTGCCTCCCCCCCTAGCTGTAGGGTGGCTGAGTGGGAGGAGGCAGGCAGACTCCTTGGAGGCCCCATGGAGCATCCTGCCCCAACTCGCCCCACCCTGTGGGTGGCTGGCTCTGCCCCTGGACACACACGCTGCCCCAGGCACCCAATCTGCTTGCTCCACTGCTGGTGGCACCCTTCCCCTTCAGATGTCAAGGAAGTAACTACATAACTTTCAGAAGACATACGAGGGCAGCCCTGTATCGGGAAGTTTTTAATGTTTGATGTTTTACACTATGTTTTATATATGCTGTAAGCCGCCCAGAGTGGCTGGGGAAACCCAGCCAGATGGGTGGAGTATAAATAATGATGATGATGATGATGATGTCACAAAGACAAGTTTGAAAGAGATGGTTATAATTCAGTTCTTGTTTCTGTGTATTTCAATTAATTCTGCCCATTGATTAATTATATATCTTTACTCTTAATCCACTTAAATACCCAAGGTTAATGCTGACAATTTGATATACTGTATATTGGATTAAAAGTACATTTCATTTTCCTTCTGAGTGTGGACAAAAATATCTTATAGCACAGTGGACAATACTATTAAAATACTTGTTCTGCAGCTTTAAAATGCCCTGTCAAAAGAAAGGAACTTGGTGACATTTTTCTGCCACACATGTTAAAATTGACATATGGGGCGGGGGTGGGGGCTTTTGCACCCACTGCATTCAGTGTAGCTTCTGAACAAAAGCCCAACAAGTATAATGTGTTTGTGCATTGGTCCATTTGCACAGCTGGGCACTTGTCACACTTATGGAGCCTAAATCTAATGAATGTAGGTTGTTCCAGAAATTATGCTGAATGCATGTAGGTGATGGAATAAATGATAATGGGTGATTAACCATTACATGTAGTCATCATAACATTTGGAAAGGGTTTGGGCCATTAGACGATAGCAAAATAACCATCGTTTCACAAGACTAATTGTTTTTAGTCTGGAGCCTGGTGCTGAGTGTTGTTGCTATCACTTTGTTGTTGAATCTCACGATAAAGAAAGGCTTCAGTTCATTGGTCTGCCCACCTATATAGAGTCAAGAGAGAAGCTAATATGGAATTAAAAGTGAGAAACTAATTAAGGTTGATACTGCTTCTTAGATTTGCTAGAAAATACAGAATACATACAGAAAACACCAGGACTTAGACAAACACTTTTTATTACAGAACACACACACACACACACACACACACTCCTTCCCTCTTCAAAATCTCAAAGTTGGAAACATGACTATCTCAGGTATATTAATTGTCATGTGTCTACTTTGTTCATAAGAAGAGCCTGTGTGATCATGCCAGCGGCCCATCTAGCCCATCTAAGATGCCTGTGGGAAACCCACAAGCAGACCCAAGTACAACAGCTCTCGCCCCTCCTGCAGTTTCCAGCAACTGGTGTTCAGAAGCATAATGTCTCCTGCCATGGAGATAGAGCACAGACATTGAAAGCCTTGTCCTCCATGAATTTGTCCAGTCCTCTTCTATAGCCATCCAAGCTGAATAGCCATCACTGCCTCCTGCAGGAGTGAGTTTCATAGTTTAACTAGGGGTTGACTAAAGAAGCACTGTGTTTTATCTATCCTAAGTCTTCCAACATTCAGTTTTATTGGATGGCAATGAGTTCTAGAATTATGAGTGGGGGATAAAAAAACAATCTATCCACTTTCTCCATGTTATGCATACTTTTTAAAATGTCTATCATGTCACGTCTTACCTTTTATCAAAACTAAACACTCCCAAATGCTTCAACCATTCTTAAGAGGAGTTGATCCAGCCCCTTGATCATTTTGGTTGCCCATTTTTCTGAACCTTTTCCAACTCTACAATACCTTTTGTAAGGCGAGGCCACCAGAACTACGCAGCATATTCCAAATGCAGTCACACTATTGATTTGTGTGATGGCATTATGATTCTAGTAGTTTTATTTTAAATCCTTTCTCCTAAGAATCCCTATCCATTATATATCCATTTCCTAAGCAAAAATCCATTTGATAAAGGGATCCATTATGTGTAAAACAATTAGGAAAGAGCAATAAATAATTCTCATAATTGTCTCATAATTTAATTTAGTGAACATATACGTGAAGTGTGCATGTGTGTGTGTCAATGTCATGCTGTAATGTAGAATAGAACCTTCCTGAAGCCCATTTTCAGGGATTTCTTCACTTCCATGTTTCTCAGGCTGTATATGAGGGGATTGACCATGGGGGTCAAGACTGTATAGAAGAGAGAGAAGACTTTCTTCATATGTATTAAATCCTTTGACCGAGGGAGCATATAGACAAGCATCAGACTTCCATAATACAAGGCAACCACTGTGAGGTGAGAGGAACAGGTGGAGAAGGCCTTTGTCCTTCCAGTGGTGGATGGGATTCTGAAGATTGTGGCTATGATGGAAATATAGGAGATTAGGGTGAGGAGGAAGGGAGGTAGGGTGAAAATACAGGTAAATATGAAACCTGATAGTTCAAATAAATGAGTGTCACTACAAGAAATATGTCGTATGCTAGAGCTAACATCACAAAAATAATCATCAATTTCCTTGGGACCACAAAAGGATAACCATGAGAGTGATAAGGTTAAGCTTGTGCTAACCAAAACTCCACTTGCCCAAGACACAACGGATAACTGGAGGCTCACTCTGCCATTCATTAGAGTAGCATAGTGGAGCGGCTTACAAATTGCCAAGTACCTGTCATAAGACATCATAGCAAGGAGGTAGCATTCAGCACCACCCAGGCAAGAAAAGATGAAAAACTGCAAGAAGCAGGCTTGGACAGATATACTTTCCCCCCCAGTCAGCATGCATGACAACATTTTAGGCAGGATGGTTGAGCTGCTGCAAGATTCCAAGAAGGAGAGGTTCCCTAGGAAGAAGTACATGGGGGTGTGAAGATGTCGATCAGTCACAACCAGCACAACAATGAGGAGGTTCCCAGCCATAGTCACCAAATAACACAATAAGAAGAGCAGGAAGAGAAGAATTTGTAGTTTAAGTTGATCTCCAAATCCCAAGAGTATGAATTCAGAAATAGTTGTTTGATTTTCCCATACTTTCTTTGCCATGTGTGCTGCATCTGGAGAAAATAGCACGGAGAGTAAAGTTAATGGCTTCACTGTTTTAAAGTAAACTTAAAAGAGTCTCACATTTAAGTAACTTGCCTATATAATGAATAGGTTTTTTATTTGACCATTTCCTAGTCAGACATTACTACTACTACTACTACTACTACTAGTACTATTATTACTATTATGTCTTATTTACAAATCTCATTCACACTTCACACAACTAATGTTGCTTAGAAGAGAAAAATACATAAAACACACTGCAGTCCCATTGGTAAAGAAAAAAAGGTTCCTTACTAACAATAACTGCATATTCACAGGGGTGGTTTTGGATTCACAAGGATGGCTTCATATTTTGCTTAGATCTATCTGTAATGGGATCTATTTTGCTTTATCTTATCAAAGTAAAGTTTTCCCACTGTTTTTAAAAAGAGCTATTTCATATCAATCTGCAAAAAGGCTTTGAAATACGTGTTCCTGCTTCATCTCTCCCCCCCCCCCCAGCATTTAGAGTTTCTTCTAACAGAAATTTTCTTACCTCTCTCTGACCCATCGAAAGAGTTCTGTTTTTGTTTTACTGATGCTAAGGCCTACATTAATCCACAATAAGGTGACTATCTCTATAGAATTGTTTATACTGTATTCCGCATCATGAAGTCAAAAGTGTCCCCAGACATTTATGATAATGAGCCTTTTACTTGTGGGTAGAAGAAATGCACTTAAAGAAGCAAGTTTTTCCAAGAGGAGTAGAGCCCTTTTCCCTCAACCACTTCCTTTGGGATATGAGCACATGGGGAGACACAAGGACAATTACTGTTGTTGTAATTTCAGGTTCCATATCTTATTTCTCTTTATCATGCATATAACTTGCTCTCACAGAAGGCAGGGATAAAACCACCAGCTTGGATGGCTGAAAAGAGGATTAGACAAATTCAAGGAGGAAAAGGCTATTGAGGCTACCAGACATGATGGCTATGCCTCACCGCCACAGCTGGAGACAGCAATGCGTCTGAATATCAGTTGCTGGAACCTGCAGGAGGTGAGAATGTTCTTGCGGCTGGGTCCTCATTGCAGGTTTCAGTAGCAAACAGAGCTGTACACAGCCCCCCAGTCTAACACTGGACCACATAATGTGTTGACCCAGCAAGGGCCAAACCAGGGACCACCAGCCCAACCCCAGATATGTCCCTGGAGACAACTGTGGTGTGGCTAATGCTTAGTGAGGGTGAGCCCTAATTACACATACAGTTGAGAGATGCAACATAAAAGATAAAGGTAAAGGTACCCCTACCCGTACGGGCCAGTCTTGCCAGACTCTAGGGTTGTGCGCTCATCTCACTCTATTGGCCGGGAGCCAGCGCTGCCCGCAGACACTTCCGGGTCACGTGGCCAGCGTGACAAGCTGCATCTGGCGAGCCAGCGCAGCACACTGAAACGCCGTTTACCTTCCCGCTAGTAAGCGGTCCCTATTTATCTACTTGCACTTAAGGGTGCTTTTGAACTGCTAGGTTGGCAGGCGCTGGGACCGAGCAACGGGAGCGCTCCCCGCCGCGGGGATTCAAACCGCCGACCTGACGATCGGCAAGTCCTGGGCGCTGAGGTTTTACCCACAGCGCCACCCGCGTCCCTATGCTTAGTGAGGGTCAGCCCTAATTACACATACAGTTGAGAGATGCAACATATCCCTCATCTATCCCAGCTGAGAGCAGGGCCTGGCTGCAGGGAAGGCTTTTGCAAAGCAGCACCCACAGCATGAAACACCCCCTGCTCTTGCTCAGGCGAGGAAGTAGTGTTTCCCGTCCCTCCTTCAGTCTTTTCAAGTGTTGCTTTCCAATAGCCTTCCCCTGATTTACCTTGAGAAACAAAACCCTGAAGTCCACAGAATTGAATCCTCCACTCAACAGCTGTGGAGAAGACTGCTGCAGGCTTCCTCCCAGACACCCTGACAGCCCAGGACAGTCTTGACCTGATTCAGCCCTAGTCCAGATTCACACACCCCCCCAAAAAAAAAATATTGCCCAATTTGGTCAGGATGCAGGCTTCAGCCAAATGTAGTGCACAGCTGTAGTAATAAGGATTAGGGTTCTTTTTAGGCCTAAAGTGGTTCTTTCCTATTGTTATAGAATAGTAAATACAGGAAGAAGGGAGAGGGTGACATGATGGAAAATTCAGAAAGTGTTCCATTGCTGGTGAATTTCCGCAGAGCCTCTCCATGCTCTTGGATGTTTGTTTTTTGCAGGTATATTGGCAACATGGCATTGATTCAATATTAGTGTGGTGTTCGTGGATTTACAATGGGCTGTACACATATCATTTTTCTTTATTGGTCATTCTTCCCCATGCTAGTGTATTATTGATGTTCTGGAGGGACACTTTTGCACTATAATGCAACAAAAGTGGGACAAAAATAAATAAACCCTACATGCTAAGAAAAGTTACAGGATTTCTTCAGAAGGCTATGGGACATAAATGGATTCGAAACAAGGCATTTATATCTAGCCCAAACCAGTGTTGAATATGACTGCAGATTTGAGTATTACATATAACTGCCCAATGTGATCATGAGCAGAAAACAACATGAATGCACAAATAAAAGGATGTCTAAATGCAGAGTAGTCGGTGAAGAGAGATGTATCTCTGAAGTTAGTGTTGTGTACAGAGATGGACAAATACCAAATTACGAAATGGATGTATTGAAATAGAGAAAGAAAGAAGATAGGTTAACGACACCACTTCAGGTTTCAGTGGTGAGGTCAGGTTTCACATCAAAGTTCACAGGCTTGCACTTTGATATATTCAATATTAAACTGCAAATAAGTGCATTTCTCTGAAATCATCAGTCAGACAGGGTTAGGGATGTAATTTGTATTATTCTCCAGGTTTGCTAACTTTTTTTCTAGGGAGTCCTGGAAAGAAAGGGAGTCCATCTCACTTCACAGCCATTTCTATTTCATAAACAAATAGCCCTTGTGCTGTGGCATGCTTCACATTTGGATGACTTTATAATTGCTTCTGCAGTGTTTTATTTGTGCAGAATGTCTTCCTGATGAACCCTTTCTCCCCCCCCCCAACCTACAGTGTGAGCGTGTGTAAGAGAGAGAGCGGGAGATGGAGAGAAAGAAACTAAGGTGTCTTCTGCTGTCATAATCGCCATGCTGGTTATGCCACTGACTACTGCTTCACGTATCTACTTCTTGGGACGGTAATCAGAGAGAAATAAGCCCAGATGGAACCAGGACTCAAGGTTCTGGGGTCTGGGGTCAGGATAATCACAACACAATTCATTCAGAGAATAAACTCAACTGCATTTTTTAAAAAACAAAACAGGACAATCAATTGATTCTTAGTGGGGTAAGTTTTGTTGCAATCCTAAGGCAAGGTTGCTAAAAAGAACACACACACACTGCATTTATTTCTTTTCAAATTATTTGGAAATAAGGCATTCACTTTGTAATACATATGTTACTACAGAAATGACACGAATGGCAAACTAGGAAATCTAATCCTTACTGCATTATGTGCACTGCTAAAGGTTACAAAGCTGGAAATTAAACTGCTCACAATCCTGTGGAAAAAAATCAATGCATGGAGGGGGACAGTGGTATCATACTTACTGTCACTGCTGCAAACATCACATGTCCCAGATTTTGTTTGTATAGGAGAGTGAAAGAGTGTCAAAGGTCAGATTCCAGATACAGATGTACAGAACTGTATTAAAGTGGTACTTTATAGGCATATTATTTTATACAGGCCAGACATCTTAGGCAAGTTAGTAGAATGACATCAGGATTCCTAAGAAGTATACAAGAGTCAGGGACAGACCTTGGTCTTTCAAATTTCAGTGGCACTCTGTGCAAGGCCAAAATCTGGCACCCCACCTCTTACCTTCCATTCTGCTCAATTGACTACATCATAGTTGCAATGCCTGTCTCACTGTCCTAAATCTTCCTCTGTGATAGTCCATGTTCTTCTTCCATAAAATGACAAACTTCTAAGCAAAAATATGCTCTGAAAGGGGCTCAAAACCCCAGAGACATATAGGAAGGAACAATAAATATTTCAGTATATTTATGAGTACTGTAAATTGTCAGGCCATTTAATCTACTGTGCAGATTTATATTAATATCATGGTGTGATGTAGAATATAAACCCTCTGAAACCCTTTTTCATGGCCTCTTTCACTTCTGTGTTTCTCAGGCTATATATGAGGGGATTGATCATGGGGGTCAAGACAGTATAGAAGAGAGAGGAGACTTTCTTCATGTGTTTTAAGTCTTTTGACCGAGGGAGCATATAGACAAGCATCAGAGTTCCATAATACAAGGCAACCACTGTGAGGTGAGAGGAACAGGTGGAGAAGGCCTTTTGTCTCCCAGTTGTGGATGGGATTCTGAGGATGGTGGCTATGATGAAGCCATAGGATGATATGGTGAGGAGAAACGGAGGTAATGTGAACACACAAGTAAATACAAAGGCTGATAGTTCAAAGAAAGTTGTGTCACTACAAGAAATAGACCTTACATTAGAGCTAACATCACAAAAATAATCATCAATTTCATTGGGGCCACAGAAAGATAGCCATGACGCTGATGAAGTTAAAATTGTGCCAACAAAAAATCCACTAGCCCAAGACACAACAGATAATTGGAAGCTCACTCTGCCATTCATAAGAACAACATAATCGAGTGGTTTACAAATGGCTAAGTACCTGTCATAAGACATCATGGCTAGGAGGTAGCATTCAGTTCCAGCCAGAGAAGAAAAGATGAAAAATTGCAAAAAACAGGCTTTTATAGATATACCTTTCCCCCCCAGCCAGGATGCTTGACAACATTTTAGGCAGGATTGTTGAACTATAGCAGCATTCCAAGAAGGAG